AGAAGTAACAACAGAAAAGAAAAGAAAGAGAAGAAAAGAAAACAAGAAAGAAGCGAAAAAGAAACAATAAACAAGCGAAAAAAAAGAGAAATTCCAGAAGCAGGACTCGAACTCAGAACTTTCACTTCAGGAGAAGATGTACKCCCCTGAATACATAAGAAATTATGAAAATAAAAAACTAAAAAGATGGGACGATTCCCCCGAGACATTCTATGAAGCTGAGGCGGCGAATCGGCTTACGTTACGGTTAGAGATTTCGGCCCTTCCACGCTATCCCGAGTGAACATAAAACTTAGTCTTAACCAAAAGGCCAGGGAGTGAGGGGGTAGCCGCCCACTAGAGCATACCTTTAGCTAACCTCTTAGACCATCGTACTATGAAGACACTTATAGATAACGGACACCTAATCGGGATAGTCTATTCGGCGAAGTTCTATGCTAATATATGACGTCACCATAATCCTTAGGGAGCAGCGAGCCAATCAACGCGCAGCTCAAAAATTATCATATGTAGTACTTGCATGACATTCCAGTAGCGAGAGGGAGAGGGCGAGAGATGAGAAAGGGGAGGGGGTGGGGTGGGTGTGGAATTGCAATCGAGTTCGTTGCCGGCAGTGTGACGTTAAGTCTCAKAAAAACAACCTTGATTATAGTATGCCAGGCGCAAATAAAGCGAGGAATTTTCGTTCTAGAATTAGAAATGCAATCGCTTGTGGACTCTTTATTTAGTTCCCAATGATTTATGAGGCATTATGGACCTTAACATGAGATCGGGTTAGATAAAGTGCGATTTKAAATAYGACTAGCYTTCAAGGCGACTCAACGGGGTAATAGATTTGAGGTGAAAAATTCTAAGTGCCACGTCGATGGTATACTATGCCGAGCGATGATGAAGCTTTGAATTGTCAACGAAATTTGGTCAAAAGGGAGAATACCTGAACATAAATACAGCAAAGTGTCTTTGACTAGACTAGATTTATTTTAGTACATTATTTTGACTCCCGGACATCTAATTTTTCTTAGATGTCCGGGAGTSAAAATAATTTACTAAAATAAATCTAGTCTAATCAAAGACACTTTGCTGTATTTAGGTTCAGGTATTCTCCCTTTTGACCAAATTTCGTTGACAATTCAAAGCTTCATCACCGCTCGGCATAGTATACAATCGACGTGGCACTTAAATTTTTTTTCGTCTCTGGACAGACCTCCCTAGAAAAATCCAAAGTGCCACGTCGATTGTACACTATGTACACTTTTATATTAATTATTGTTCATAATTCTAATTGTTTATTCATACGCCGCGATATTCTTTTCTAACAGCTCAGTMGTGTAACGACGTCAAAATGCTAGCAATATCGAGCCCGGAGTAAATATCCTGTCTTTTTCAATTTTTAAAATAGCTAGCCCGACTTCACGCTCTAAGAGCTTCTAGTTTACATTTAATATGGGGTTCAGACCTTATAATAGAGCAATGATTACGCTCAAAGATTTCTCAGTACATGTATATAAGTCGTTTTTAATGTCAATTAATTCAATTGAATCTATTAAATTGAATGAAATTTGCCATGATTAAAGATGAATTATCACCTGGAAGCAGACATTACGCAGCAAAGCATGATGGGACATGATGGGGGCTTATTAGAAGGTTGGGGATGGCTTTTTTAGAATTTCAAAAATGACCCTATATTATACATGTTTCCAAACAAATTTTCATATGGCAATCCATTATATATTAAACAATTTTAATCTCTCAAAGGTGCTGCAGTTCACATGTAAAACTGCATTTTTTGAAAATATTAAAAACTTCAATGCCAATTTGGTCAGATTAGGCGATTAGGCTTTTAAATGTTTGAAGGAAGAAAGAAAATGTTTGAAGGAAGAAACAATATATCCCATGACTACCGGCATGCTTTTCGTTCGTTGTTATGGAAGTGAAGTCTGGAACTAGAGCTGTCAAGCTGTCAAACAAAAAATGGCGGCTGTTCGTCGACTTACAGAAATCCTTGCAGTCGCTGCGTTTATTACTTGCGGTTACATTATCTATTATGTCACAACTCCTGGTGAATTCACAGAATGGTCTAATTGGAGTCAATGCRCAGTAACTTGTGGAGAAGGTGTTGAAACGCGAACTCGCTCGTGCACAAATCCAGCACCAGGGATGTTTGGCTTGCACTGTGAAGGAGCCGAAAGAGAGACAAAAAAATGCAYTGTCAAGCCGTGCCCTCAAGATGGGGGATACTCAAATTGGGAAAAGTTTGGAGACTGCGATAAAAAATGTGGTGGAGGAAAACGAACMCGGAAAAGAACGTGTACGAATCCATCTCCTCTCTATGGTGGAAGAACGTGCGAACATTTAGGTGTGTCTGAAGAAACGCAAACATGTAATATTCAACCTTGCCCAGTTAATGGAGGTTATTCTCAATGGGGGCAGTATACTGAGTGCAGCGTAGAAGGGGGAGAAGCGTGTGGAAAGGGTAAAAAAGTTCGCATAAGAACGTGTAATAATCCTGTCCCCCAACATGGCGGAAAGGCTTGCGAAGGACCTGATAAAGAAACGGTAGATTGTGAAATTCCTTGCCCAACATCAAAGCAAAGTGAACACAATAAAACCATCACACCTGCAGTATCAACGCTTTTACCCAGTGCAAAGACAACATAAGTGTAGTCACAGGCATTTTATATGTCAGAAAATTAATTTTAGTTAGTTTTTTTTAAGTAGGCACAACATTATTGGAAGTATTACAGTTCCTTTCTTAGGCCTGCTTTTTATGTTGTGCTATAATTCCTGGGTATTTTAGTACAAAGCCAAATTAAAACGCTCAATACACATACGTCAACTAATAAAAAAGTGAACTAAAGTTTGTCTGTGGGATGAAAAACAAGACTTTTCCATACCAGACATCATTTGTACAGGGATGAATTACCGTTATCCTAAGCATTAGGACCTGATTATATGAAGCAGACTGAACCAGTTGGAACGGCTGATTTCTTTAGTTTTATGTCCCTTAGAGCTTCATAAAATTAGGGCCTTTTTCTTTTATCGTCATTTTTAGATACACTTTTATATCAGTCACAAAGGCACTAAAATTCTTTACAATACAATACCTAGATAATAGTACATGTTTTCCTGTATTGAGCAGCTTTTTCCTATTGGTAAATTTAGCTCAAAARATGTACTTTTTGTAGGATGGTCAGTAGTAATACAAAAAGAATGCATTCAAAGTAAATCTATTTCCTCRAGCACTAAATGCACTAGATTTTCTATTTTGTCTTTCGTAAAAAGTGTAGTTTAATCAAAGATGCAGTCATGTATTTATACAATAATAATATGTATTTATGAACAATTTCAATTATTAAAAATATGCACTGCTAGTGCAGTTGCTTGGTGAATATATTGCATCTTTTTTCTGTGGTTGGAAATACATGGCATGTAAACGGCCAAAGAGATTAAAAATAATTTATTCGCTTTTGGAATTCTGCATGGGCTAAATCTATATTCTTGTACATGAATAGCAAAATTACAGCAGATATCATTGCGACTTCACAATTCAAAAGAAATTGTGAAGATTTGAGTTTTTCTAACTGACACAGACTTTACTAAAAATTAACCAAAATGAAGGAGTTTAATAAAAACTAATTTTGCCCTAAGAAGAACACAGCAAAATCCTAATAACATTCAGAAAAAAAATCAGTTATATTGCAACGATTTTTGATTTGAATAGTTTACAGACATGGTGATGTTTCAGTTTTTGCTTAAGAAATGTGATATTTTTTATTGCAACTTACACAACTCATCAGTTTCACTCATTTTGTTGTTGCTACCTAACTTAATGACAGTTAATGATTATCGATTTTAATATGGTGATTAATGGCATCACCTACGATTAATATTTCTAAATCTGGAAATGACAAGCRAAGGCATCAACTGCATGCCAACGCCTCCAGAAATAACCGTGACAACGATGTGAATCCGCGATAGTACTSCAACAATCCCAGCGGTTAGCGTCATTGGGTTACTATTGGAAAATGGCCGACGGGCTTCAACCAGACTAGAAGTGACCTCAATCAAAGCTTCAATTGCATGTATTTGAGGATCAAAATGGTTGTAAGACTACTGCAAACATATTTCTGTGTGGAAGTGCTATAAGAAGAAACAGTTATGTCGACGTTAGAGTTGTACACAAAGGTTTGTAAAATGCTCAAAGTGGCGCGCTTCCCGGATGGTTGTCGCGAGGGCATCACGAACTGGCCTGTATATTCTTCCMTTTTGCAGGGTGCTCGTGTGTGGATTCCACACAAGGACATCGTATGGATAGGAGGAGAGCTTACAAAAGACATAGAAGATAAAATTTTAGAGATTTTACTCGAAGATGGCAG